GAAAATTGGCAAAAAATTATTTCGATTACTTCATGTTTGCAAATAAAAATAGACCGAGGTTCGAGTTTTTTCGCTGCTTGCTCAGAAACCAGCTATTCTTTTTAACTGATTATAATTTACTGATAATGAACATGTTTATTCATTTCTTCGAGAATGGTTTTTTGATGATGACGTTAACCCAAGATCCTGAGTTTTATGGTCGTTTTTGATTGAAAAAAAACTTATATGCTCAACATTCTGCATTCAATTAACAGATGTAGCAAAATTTTTAAACTATCGCGGAGTTTCCCACTTCTCCCCTTTTTCTTCTATTTGACTGTGTATGAAAAATTCAATAAACTTGCGAGAGCAACTCTCTTGTAATCGGTATCTAGACTTTTTCCCTTTAACAACTTTTGGTACAATAAATTGAACTTGCTTTATTATTGATTTTCACCACCTTTTAGGTTCTTTCTTTTTCCTTTTTGGCCTGAAGGTAACGCGTTGATTTTGCGAATTAAGTTTTGGGATTCGAGTCCGGCAGGAAGAATCCGGCAAAATCATATTTACAAAATTGATTTTGTTTTACTGTAAAAACTGAATCGTCGGTTTTTCGCTTGTCTGGTTAAGTTTTCTCGGCTCAAGTTCAAGTATCATTGTACTCACAAATCTTTTTTCTTGCAGTTTTAGTGGGATTGAAAAGTTTTTTTTTTATAAAAAACTTTTTTTTTGGCTCAACTGGTGTCTGCCAAAAAATTGTTAGCTTTGTTTTTGCTCGTAAAATTTGTTTCTTTGCTAGTTTAAAATTCAAATGTCTTGTGTCGCGTTTTTGCTTACAAAATCATGTTTGATCAGAAAAAGGTACTTTGAAAGTGTATGGTATTGGGTGTTTTTTGAGGCGCTTCAGGAAATTTTTTCCATTTGCAATTTGTTTCAAACTTTTCTCAGAAACTTTTCTACTAGTTTTAGCAAAAAGAGCACTAATGGAAAGACCGTCGACTATTTAAAAAAATACGCATAATACCCTATTTTGTTTCCTAAGGATATTGTTTCCGCTGCAAAACCTAAACGGTAAAATCCAAAAAAAACTAGAAGTCGATCACGTTTTTTTGAGTCATTTCTGCTTTCGTAAATGAGCAAAAAACTGAGTTGAACAAAAAAAGTTATCAAAATTTAGACTACAAAAGATCATGTAAGTGTGAATAAATTTTTATGTCATGTTCAGCGTGAATAAAATTTTAAAAAATAATCTGAACATTCTCACTTATCAGGCATAAAAAAAACCACAAAAATTATGTTTTTGTGCTTCAGCTTCAACATTGCTGAAAATTGGCAAAAAATTATTTCGATTACTTCATGTTTGCAAATAAAAATAGACCGAGTCTCGAGTTTTTTCGCTGCTTGCTCAGAAACCAGCTATTCTTTTTAACTGATTATAATTTACTGATAATGAACATGTTTATTCATTTCTTCGAGAATGGTTTTTTGATGATGACGTTAACCCAAGATCCTGAGTTTTATGGTCGTTTTTGATTGAAAAAAAAACTTATATGCTCAACATTCTGCATTCAATTAACAGATGTAGCAAAATTTTTAAACTATCGCGGAGTTTCCCACTTCTCCCTTTTTTCTTCTATTTGACTGTGTATGAAAAATTCAATAAACTTGCGAGAGCAACTCTCTTGTAATCGGTATCTAGACTTTTTCCCTTTAACAACTTTTGGTACAATAAACTGAACTTGCTTTATTATTGATTTTCACCACCTTTTAGGTTCTTTCTTTTTCCTTTTTGGCCTGAAGGTAACGCGGTTGATTTTGCGAATTAAGTTTTGGGATTCGAGTCCGGCAGGAAGAATCCGGCAAAATCATATTTAGAAAATTGATTTTGTTTTACTGTAAAAACTGAATCGTCGGTTTTTCGCTTGTCTGGTTAAGTTTTCTCGGCTCAAGTTCAAGTATCATTGTACTCACAAATCTTTTTTCTTGCAGTTTTAGTGGGATTGAAAAGTTTTTTTTTATAAAAAACTTTTTTTTTGGCTCAACTGGTGTCTGCCAAAAAATTGTTAGCTTTGTTTTTGCTCGTAAAATTTGTTTCTTTGCTAGTTTTAAATTCAAATGTCTTGTGTCGCGTTTTTGCTTACAAAATCATGTTTGATCAGAAAAAGGTACTTTGAAAGTGTATGGTATTGGGTGTTTTTTGAGGCGCTTCAGGAAATTTTTTCCATTTGCAATTTGTTTCAAACTTTTCTCAGAAACTTTTCTACTAGTTTTAGCAAAAAGAGCACTAATGGAAAGACCGTCGACTATTTAAAAAAATACGCATAATACCCTATTTTGTTTCACTTCATCTTTCTGCTTACAGCGCCCTCACAAAATCTGCGAGGGGAATTTTTGATCCCAATTTTGTAGGACTTTTTTGTTTTCTCAAAAACTACACTCCAAAACTGAGATTGTGGGAACAAAGGATTTAACAGACAGCAAGAAGTTCCTCTGCGTTAGCGGCAACTCCCTAATTTATTTAAAAGAAATTTATCGCCCTCGGAAAATTGAAACATTTGATTTTCTAATCAATTAATGCAAACTTTTCAACTTTTCTCAAAAACAACCCTCTAAAACCTGGCATTTTAATTAAACCCAAAAAACTAAAAGTGAGAAGCTTTTTTGCATACACGACTACGCCCAGATTTTTTCATTTGAAAAGTTATGGCCCTCGAGTGAGTCAAGGTTAGAAATTTTTTGCTTTTTTGGAGAACTACACTCGAAATCTGAGACTTTGGGGTCAATCCAAATAACGCATCGTTTGAATCGCCCTCGAAAAATATTTAATATTCTGAGTAAACTTATGAATTTCCTCGAAAAATTTAATATATAAAATCAATGGATTAAGCGAGACAACAGGTTGTTGAAAACCTTTTTTTAAATAAGGCTGTGTTAATTTTAATAATTATAAAATTATGGCCTTCAAAATTCAAAATTTTGATAATTTGAATGTTTCTTGGATTTTTTTTTGTCTTTTCTCAAATCTGAGACTTTGGTTTCAAAGGGTACAACTGGTAGTAGAATGCTCCCTGCATAAGCCGCTATGCCCGATTCTCGTTTTTTTTTTAAAAAGAAGCTTTGATTCTCGGAATTGTCAGTTTTTTTTGTTGACTGTTTTTCTGAAATTTGTTGACTTTTCTCAAATACTACACTGCCAATTTTTAGGTTAAATGTTCAATCGAGCAACCCAGATTTTGCACTTTTCTCTGCTTAAGCAACCACGTCGTAATTTTTGCAGAAAAAAATATATGGATTTCGTAAAGTCAAATTTCTGAATTTTGACCGTTTGGTAGAAGATTTTGACTAACATGAAGGGTTCAATTGAAAAAACCGTTTGCGAGAATTTTTCCTGCAGAAGCGGCGACTCCCTGATTTACGTTAAAAATTTTATTTTTTTTATTTTCAATTCTCAGGTTATATGGTCAGTCGAGAAACTTGTTTACAGAATTTTCTCTGCTTAAGCTGGTACGACCTATTTTTGTATAAAAAGTTATGATCTTTTAGAAAAGTCAGTTTTGAAACTTTGAAGGTTTATTGGTTTTACTGTTCTCACTTATTTTAGAAGAGAAGCAACTAAGGTTTTGACCAAATACCAACTTTTGAAATTACCTTTTTCATCCCATATTAGTATAACAAAATCAAAAAGTATCAAATAGGTCCTTGCAGCGTTAACTGGGTCACTACTTGATTTTTCTCGGGATAAACAAAAATTTTGGCTCACTTACTTTTCTTTCAATTTTTTTTTGCTACTAACGTTTTTTACATGTGTGTGTTGTATCGCAAGTGGTGCGAAGCTCCGCTTCATCTCGGTGTAATCGTTTTGATGTTTCCAGACTCAGCTTGATTTGAGGTATCAAAAACTTTTACCTCGAGCAACCCCTTAAAAACAGTTTGGAAAAACATCGAATTACTGCCTACCATTTCAACGAGCTTTCGCGTATCGACAAAAATGTTTGTCATCGCAAGGAACTTATCTCAAGCGTTAAGCAAAAGAGACAGCTACATTGCGAGGCCAAACTTTGCACTGGATAAGCGCACAATTTTGTGTCTGTATGTTCCTGAATTCCAGAGACAAGAATTTAAACATGTTCTTAAATGTACCTGGATTCCACTTACGAAATTTCAGTGGACTCCGCGTACAAATACCTGTAGCGTTAATTTTGTCGGCACATTGATTTTGTTGCGGATTCTGCAACGAGCGAATATAGGTTGTTGTTCCGGATTCCGCGAATGTAGGCGGATTCCGCAAATGCGAAAGGATTCCAGAAATTTATGCGAATTCCCCTTTCAGCTTGCGGATTCCCCTAGCAGGTTGCGGATTCCGTTTACAATTTGCGGATTCCACTTAGTTGCGGATTCCTCGAGCTTAAATTTACTAAACACATACTATTATTTGTTAATGGATTACTTAAACTGGTTCCGGATTCTACAAATTTTGTTGCGGATTCCGCAAAGTTGCCTGTTTTTGGAGCGATTTTGAGCAATAGTGTTTTAGATATTTGTCTAAGGAATTCAAAACAGCAAAGATCAAAGAAAAATAGCCATGTTGTGGATTCCGCGACAAATCTGGTTTCTGCCTGTTGCGGAATCCGCTTACAATTCACAAAATGCAGTTTGGCCTCGTAATGTATTCAAAATCGGGCAAAATCAAAATCGGGCAAAAGAAACCCTAAATTATGATGTGCACATAAAATGTGCAACTTCTATTGGAAAAGACAAAAATTATATATATTTTTTGCTAAACAGCTGCTTTGTAAAACATTTGAATGGTTTCTGAGCGCATCCAAAACTGTGGTAAAAGACTTTATTAATTAGTTGAACTGTTCAAGCACCAATTACTTAGCAGTGCAAAAACTACGACTCGGATACTGAAGATATGTCCTTGATCATAAATTCTGTTAACTTTTTCAAAATCGGTAAAAAGTGGTATTAATGGTTGCAATTGCACTCTTTCTTCGGCAATCGAGACCGAGAAAACGATGTATACTAATAAGTAAATTTCAGATTTGCAAAGTTAAGAAAGCCAGATAAAGCAATTTCCTGAAGCGTACTATTATTTAGTACAAACCTACGATTGTTATTTCATGATTAATTATAGAAAACTTCAAGAACCAATAGAATATCATCTCAAATTACTGTTGACGGTTTTTAAAAGAGGAAAGAAACAGAAAAATGGATAAAATGACTGACTAAAAACTTCGATTATATAATTTAAGCAATTGATTCTTAAAATACGATATACCAAACTCTAATAAATTGAAATATCGCCAAGCACCGTCACAGACTAAAAAATTGAAACGTTTGAACTGAACCATACTCACTGAGTTATTAATAATTTGCTTCCAAACCCAAACACATTTTCTAAGCTGGAGCGCAAAAATTGTCAGAAATTAATTCGTATAACTTGTTATCAAAATCAGCCAGTTCAGTTCAAAATTATTAACATAAAGAAAACTTTGTATCTGAGTTATGGGCAATTCGGCAGAAAGTTTTTGTGAAACTTAAGTTAGCAATGCTCTCAATCCTTTTTTCAACCTGTTATGCGACAACTGAAATTGGTGGTGAAGCGAAGCGAACTTCTGAGAGGAAACTTGAGCTAAGTTGTGAGTAGTATGCAATTCTAAAGCGCCCGATTCTTACTGCACTAGCAAGGGATAGAGATACTCAGAGCATCAAATACGTCTTTGACAATCGGGATGAAAAAAAAAACATGTCAAAGGAGTTTGGCAGCACCACTGGATTGTCATGACAGTATTCCTGACCGCCGTTTTACTTGTGCATTATCCGAGCCTCCACCACTCTTTACATTAAATGATCCCACTTATCCTATTCTATTTTGTTTAGTTTAGAAGTTCAGCATTCTATTGAACTGCTTCAGAAGTTTCATTTGTTTCTTGGAAGTGTAGTAGAAGAATAATCCGCATTGTGTTTTTTCTTTGACTTTTGAGCCAGTCTGGCCATTTCATGTATAGTGAGGTCCATGTCGAACAGTCTGCTGTGTTGAGTATCTACACACATGATTGTCTTCTCCACCTGTTGCAGTGCAGATTGTCTCGTCTCCCTCTCTTTGAGAGTCACGTCTATGCAGTAGTCCTCGAACACGCTGAACCTAAACACGACAAAATCATATGTTATACGAATACATGTAGGTGAAACTTCCCATTGCATACACAGTTAATAAACAGCAAATATTTGAAAAAAGCGAATAAATGATTGAAAAAACTAAACATGCGTTGAAAACAACTTCTATACACAGAGGCGAAGCGGACCTTCGCATCTTTTGCGATACAAGGCAAGCACAGCATTGCAAGCTAGCGAATAGAAAAAAAACTGAAATAATAAATCGAAAATATTTAGGGAAAAAACGAGGGTAAAAAAACTCAGAACAACAGTCAAGAAACACAACCAGCATTGTCTTGAAATTTTTAACGAGCAGCCACTAAGCCGACAATGCGTTCATTGAGGCAAAACCAGCCGCTCGAAGCCGCTCATTAGACCGAAAACAAAAAAAAATTGATGACATAAAATTTTTTGAGCAATTAAGTTTTAAAACTTTGAACTTTTGCAAGACAAACTACATGAATTTTAATAAATCATTTTTTACCCTTGAAGCGAAACAAATCAAGGTAATAAGGCCAATAAAACATAAGCCGACAACATAGCCAACAGACAGTTGGAAAAGAGTCAATGAATGCAAAAAAAAACACAAAAACAATAACTTATTTGACAAAATTTCAGCTTTCGAACTTCTAACAAAAAATATGGCCTAAAAGCTTTTTATATTTCAAGAGCATATTATTATAGGCACTTTTAGATAAAATTAACTCAATTTGAGAAAACTGTATGAATAAATAAAATTAAATTTCCACTTTCGAAACTAGAAGTCGATCACGTTCTTTGTGAAATTTTTACTTTTGCTGTTCGGTACTGAATTTCGCCTTCCTTTTAACAAAAGAAATGAAGTGAAGTTAAAAGAAATCAAAAGTCAAACCGCGAAAAATTAAATTTGATGAATTACAGAAGACATCAAAAACACTTGCATCTACGGCGAACATTGCTGCCCGCACAACAAAATTCTACAATGTAGGCTGACAAAAGAAAATCCGATATTACAATTTTGCACGGAATTTTTTTTAAATATAATTTCAACCGTACTAAAAAAAAGGTCCGGCCAGCACTCAAACCCCAGACCTGGGTTATAGAGACAACCGCGTTACCTCTAGGGCAAGTGGAAAGCAGTCTCGAAGTTGTTAAGGTTCACTATCTAAGTAACTTCAAAACAAATTCAGATGTAGGAAAAATTGCTTGCGAGAAAAAGTCTAGTATCCGATTACAAGACACTTGCTTTCGCAAGTGAAACAATAAAAAATTATACGCCGCTTTTTGAGAAAATAACCAAAACAAAAACTTAGCTTAAAAATAAGCACCAATAATTTTTATTATTTTTTATCAACTTGGCATATTTGACACAGAGGCGAAGCTTCGCCACGCAAACACTAGCGAGAACACGACAAAAAGCAGCTTTAGAAAGTGCAATAAGAAATAGAATTAAGCCTCGAATAAGCAAAAATTCGGCTAGGTCTAGGATTCGATCTGCGACCTACTGCAATCAATAGATTGTGAGTCTCACGCACTAACCACTCAGCCACCCACGCTTAACTACCGAAAAACACTAGTCAGGAATAAAGCAGCAACATATGCTAATAAATTTCCAATGCCATTCAGCAAAAGTGGCATCAAATACTAATGGACAAAATTTTGCAAGTAAAAATTTGGAGTATAACGAACTGAAGGCATCTACCAACTTTGCATGTCAAAGCATAAAGTCACATTATGTCGAAATTGTGCATTTCAAAAAAATTAGGAGATATATTGAGTCAGAAAATTTCTGAGTTAAGTTTTTATTATTGTTATGTTGTTTGAAACAATTAAGTGTTTTTTTTCCGGTTCATTTGATGAGTTAAAAATGCATCAACTGAGTTAACTTATTACTATTCGAACGTCAAAGCACACGCTATCAAAAAAGCTGTAAAGGTGCCCCAAAAGTGGCACCAATTTTGCGACTTAGGCTAGAAAAAAAGAAGGTTCTTAATAATACACTAAGCTGACGCTAGTGTAATAAAATCAACAGAAAGTTGCAAATTAAATGGGAAAGTGAAATGATCTTTAAACACCACCTTTCATTGGGTACCAATAGCTAGAAAAGCTCGTCTAATGTATAAACTAGATATAGATACTGACACCTCACTTATCCCAGTTGAATATTGTCCGGTTCTTTTAGAACGAAAAGAAGACGTGTTGTGATTGCTTATGGTAACGCGAAATGAACAAATCCAGGTCAAATTAACCTTCTTAAGTTAATCTTCGCAAACTCCAGCAAGAAAACAACAAAAAAGCAGCGCTATAAAAGAAAATAGGAAAATAAATTATTTATTTCAGAAAGATTACGATATATGGAGTTGGAAAATTTCCTGAAACCGTTGTACTGTGGTTTAAAAGAAATAATATTTTTCGGTTCATTTGATGAAATGAAAAACATCAACTGAATTAACTAACCTATTACTATTCCAAAGTTAAAACACATGCAATCAAAAAGCGACTCCTGAGGCACCAATAGAAATCTGAAAACTAATTTCCACTTTCGAAACAAGAAGTCGATCACGTTTTTCGTGACCTTTTTACTTTTACTGTTCGATACTGAAGTTCGCCTTCCTTTTAACCAAAGAAATGAAGTGAACTTCAAGGAAATCAACAGTCAAACAGCGAAAAAATAAATTTGAGCCTGAACAAACTTTAAAAGGCTTTTCCTGAAAAAAAAAACGGAAAAAAAATAACCGTGACCTATAGAAGAGTGAACTACGTTCATTGACTCTTAAAAATTTGAACCTGAAAAAAAAGTCTTTTCCTGAAAGAAAAAAAATGGAAAAAAATCACGACCTATAAAAGAGTCTGTACTGCGTTCATCGACTCTTTAAAGATTTTAGTTTTCTTTGGTACGCATAATCGTATGCAAAGACCTAAATTTTTCCTAATTTGGAAATAGTACTTGGTTCGGCGAATTTTTCATGAAGTACCTTTCGGAGCTCTTCTTTTCGGCTTCCAACTCCTCTGGAGTGAGTTTTGAGGAGCGGGAGAGAAAATACTTGATGAGGGATATGACACTCTCTATTATGCTGAAGGGAGGCGGGAAATGGGGCTTGTTCTCGTACTCCTTCACCAGTAGAAACATCTCATTCTTCCACTCCATGTCCGAGATACCCTCCACCTAAACACATCATAGCCGCTTCATTACGCAACCATCTAGATAGACGAAATGAGAGCCTTAAATACCTTTCTGTTATGTACAGCAGAAACGACTGGGGCTACTTCAGCTTAGTGACGACATATCATTAAAACTTAAACTAAACAGATCAGCTCTTATATGATCACAAATAGCCAACAAACAGTACAAGTGTTAATTTACTCAAGGAATATTTTTATTTTTCGATTTTCATAGAAAAATTTACAACCACGTTAACTTTCGCTGAATTCCAGGATTCTTTTACACAGACGCGAAGTTACACTTCGCATGCACAAGCAAAAATATGACCGATAACGCAACTGGGAAAAACTGAAGGAGTAAAACTTTGAATCAACAAAGTTTCTTAAGTGACGCACGCCATTTATGACGATTTAGCAGTCAATTTGAAAACATGAAAACAAGAAATTTGCCAACTAACATGCCTCAATTTACAGAGCATTCTATTGGGCAGTAATAACATGAAAAAAATTAAACGAAATAAAAATTTAATGAACTTTTTTTAAATTTAAGATTTTTTTTTTGAGGAAATCATCCCCCCACACGCCATATTAGGTACAAAAAGATAAATTTCGCTCCTAGTAACAAATAGATTACGGCAAATCAGCTTCCTTTAACCAATTTGAAATGATTTCTATGACTGGATTAAATCTCCCGCGTCCAGACAATTCGGCCAAAGACAATTCAGCCAATAATATAGACCGACGCAGTCGCGCCACCGTGTTGCGAGCTTGCCAACAGAGGGTAGGACTCTATACGATATTTAGAGCCGGTTATCGTTTAGGCGAAATTTAGGCTATACGAAATTTAGGCGCACGAATTGTCTGTGCGCCTAAATCTCCATGGCAAAGTCGAAATTTGTCTGAAGAAAAAAAAAACCACCCGAGCACAAATATTCCGTTATTTTCGTTACGAAAGTGGGAACAATAATAGTCTGTGCTAAAATTGTTAGCATTGCCGGTACTTCATAAATCGTTATTGATCAAAAAGAACCCTTTCAAAATGAACACATTTTATCGCAACAATATTTGCGTCGCAACTATGTTTGCCACTTAGGTTGAAAAAAAAAGATAGTTCATACTATAACACAAGCATTGCTTGTGTAATGATATACTTTTTTAAAGAAACCTAATCCAATTTGAGAAAACAGGATCAATCGATAAATTTTTTATTCCGCAGCGAAATCCATTCTCAAAACTATAAGATCTTCACGCTTTTCGCGACACTTTCACTTCCATTATTGAAAGAAGTAATTTGACTTCCATCTAGCAAATTGTTTCAATTGAACTTTAAGTCAACCAGCAAAAATCAAATTAAAACGTGAAAAATTTTTATTTTTTCCTGAAAATTTAAAAATTACAAGACCTAAATGATTTTCTTCACTTCGTTCATTGAAATTTAAAGCATTTTTCAAAGCTCATTTAAATGTAAATGTCCAACAGTTTTTATTAACTTTTTATTGAAAGTATCGAAACTTTGAAAACTCGAACAATAATTCAGTGATTTTTCTAACTTAACAAAAAAAAACTTTTTTCAACGACTATAGTCAAAGAATTCTGTGCTATTTGAACAGCAAACCTCTACTCATTTGCTATTTATGTAAATTCAAATTGATTGACATTTCACCATGCTTTTAGCAAGTGGAATCAGAGAGATATGAAGTAAGTGCCAAGCCAGTTCTGCTAGGCTGAAGAATATTCTATTCGCCATATGTTACACCACATAAGTTCACAATCTCATTCTTCAATTGAACAAACGCTTGGTTGCAAGGAAGGAGTGACCCTAACGAGATTACAACCTTTCGTTTCACCATATATTTCAACGATTTGTAACATAACAATTATAGTTATTTAACGATCTCGTGTAAATAACTGCGAAACCACCGCAGTTTGAAATCTAATCATGTCAACTTAAATCTGAGACAGTAGATTAGGTTTGATTGAAAACGAAATATTTTGACACTTAGCTGTCACTTTTGCATTAATTTCAGAACAGAAACCTAAATAGTACCAATTTGCCCAGTTCAATCGATCATGAAAGTATGTCGAAATTGTGTGCACGTAATCATCATAAAACTCCGCGAACTAGGCATTTTCAAATGAATTAAAAGATATTTCAAAACCTATAGTTTAATTGAACTATCTCTTTTCTTCTTTATTGCTACCCATTCGCTCTGTCACAACAATTTGATAGCGGTTTAAATTCATCAAAATTATAGGGTTTCAAAGAAGAGCAAGTCTGCCATTTTCCTACTATTACAGTACCTGGTACCTCTAACAAGTACTAAGTTTAGCAATATGAGCTAATAGATATTGAGTTTGAAGTGATGAGAGATAAGCTGAGAACGTGCCTCGCTATAGATGGTTCCGAAGATGGCGATGACTAGGTTGAGGAGGAGTGCATTTCCGAAGAACATGATGAAGAGGATGGTGAAGAAGTAGAGCAACAGGAAACTGTCTCTGTCCTCCGTAGGCATGTTCAGGTCCTGCACCGACCCCTGCACTGCGTCCATGAACAGTTCCCCATTGAACATGAAGAAGGGACGCAAGAACAGCCACGACCACATCTCCATGCTGTTCACAGGCCCAGAGTAGGCGTCCTCGTAATTGAACGAATTCATCATTCCCTAAACACACAAAAAACACAATTAATGCTGCTGTTAAAACGCCCAGAGATTACAAAGATGAAGCCAAATTTCAACCCCGAGTTTGCTGCTTCGAAACCCACTATGAACATTACTTGATGCTTGAAGGTGAAACAACATCGGACATTCCAAACATAGCCAACATATATTAAAGAATTTTCATTTTTCGAAGAAAAAAATAAATCATGTCGAAGCCCTTTGAAATTCAAATACTGAATTCCTATTAAAAAAACCATCACTACATAAATAAGTGAAAATCACGTAGCTCTTTTACACTATTACAGCGATATGAAATTTGGTTTGATACTACGAGTAGGTAGCATATAATCATTTGATAGACCAACAGTTTTTGTTCCGCTTTTGATTCCGTCTCATGTAAGGTTCCAAATTTGTAATATTTCGTTGAATTTGATACAGTTTTAGCATTTGATTTCGACAAAATATTGAATTCATTAGACCGCATAATCCGCATTGAAGACATGCATGAAAATATCCGTCTCTAAATCAAACGCACATACGCGTGAATATGCTTCCAACTGCTTTACTATTTGCATACAAATTAGTTTTTATCTCTGCAAACCAACTTGAACGCCACTCGTTTTGAGTTGAGTCAAATGGAGACAACGTTCCTCGCAATTTAGACTCAACAGTGGGACTGGAATATGTGGCTAGTGATCTCTTTGCCAGTAGCTACCACGATATTTCACTTCAAACCACAAATGTTGAAGGAGCCAAAACTTCTCAGTCGGAAATTTAGCTCTTCCCTCTATATCGGATATGATCGAAAAAGCGCTTTTGTCAGCAAGTCGAGAATGAATTAGCTAAACTTAGGTGGCTCACCACTCTGATCCTTGACAAACGGTCATATTGTGGCACATAGGCCTTGAAAATGTTTGAAATGGGGACCAAGAAACAAAACAGGAAACACAACATACCATTTACCTGTTTCTGATATGCGATACTAGCTTTATTTGAATGATAAAATCAAGTGCACAAAGTACTCATTAAATACACACGATCATTGCCAAACATGCAGTAATGTTTTATGACTTACAGTAAGCATTAAATTACAGGTATCAATTTAAATGTATACTTCATTCCGTCTACAAACTCCAACTTCCATAAATCATACTTACGTTATATAAAACATACAAAGCCAACAGACGATTGTAAAAGTATTGATGATCTACAGGAAATCTTGAATACACTTGAATACCTTGAGGAATATTCCAGACGCGAGAATGAGTATGCCTAGGATGCTGAGGAAGATGACAAGCTCCACCAACATCTTCCGGATCATGATCCACATGGGTCCAGTCACTTGAGAACAGGTGTAGAAGCGCAGCAGCCGGATCCACATCAGTAAACACACGATTCCATACCAGCCTAAACTCGCACAAGTACTTTTAAAACAAGTAGCATTCGACCACCCGCCATGCTGAAGAGCACCACCACCTCCCATAAAAAATACACGCAGCAATAGATGTGCTTTAATTACCCGGGTATAGCAATCTCAAATTAGAAATTGTTCATGGAATGTTCAAACAGCTGATGTATAAAGTCGTAACATTCATAGTATTAAATCAGTAGCTGGTCCATTAAAATACAAACCAAATGTTCAAATCGAGAGATTGCTTGGATAGTTTATAAATCGAAATATACCAGGAAAATAAATTTTCTGCAAAGGCGAAAAAAAGCCCGTTACTGATACCCAAAAAAAAACAGTTTATAGATACAATAAGTGGATTCAAACTAAAAGCTTGCTTTAGTAAAAACTGGCTTTTACCAACTTATTTGCAATTTTGATCTCCAAAAAACCGATTACTTGATAGCCCCTTGAACCTTGCTCAATTTTCTGAATAGCAAATTGCTTTGAGGGGTTTCCTAAGAGCATTTCAGTTCAACAAGCGACCACCTGAAACAAAAAAGTATAGAAGAGAAAAACAAGGGTAGTTAAGTCGTATTTATCTGCGCATCGAACATTTCGAACTTTATTGACATTTTAATGCCTTGAAATCTTTCATTTGATTTCCTGACTTCGAAGCTTTGGTCTCAAATTATTTCCATGGATGGATACTTTTTAATTTTTGTGGTTCCAAGTTTCAGTTGATAGTTCGAACAATCTGGCAAAGTTAGTTTGACATTCTTAAAGCAAGGTATTCAAGCAACGAATGGTTACGATATCTCAAGTTCATTTTGGGGGCCACGAAAAATTTAGTTAAAACTAACTAACAAGTACTGTCTAAACATCAAAATGCATATGACACGATGTGACCTCATCTGAAGAGTTCTTCATTGAACAGTCTAGATTATTGCTCACTTCAGAATAGTTAAGAGATCTAAAATAATCTTGTCTGTTTTATGCACAGTGCGGCTCATGTCAACGAAAAATATGGTTGAATAATCAGAATAGTTCAGTAAAACTTGAAAGCTTTGGTTACCTTTGACAATTTTGGGGTAATATCCGTGCATGGCGAAGGAGCAGAGGGCTATATTGAGGTAACAGAAGTCCAATATGTTCCACTCTGACTTGATCCAGAGCTTGATCTTCATGAACCAGGATGCATCCTGGGCCACTAAGGACTGGATCAAGTCCAGGTAGGAGGCCACCCAGACCCACAGTACAATTATTTCATAGAAGCCTCGCGTTCCGTCCTCCGTGTAGTAGAAGACGTAAAACATAGAGTAGATGATAAGGAAGGCCATGTAGCTAATAAGATGCACTACAAACTTTGTGACCGGCACTCCGTAAAATAGCGCCAGCTTGTCCAACAACTCGTCGCCTTCATCTGGAATATCCCACTCTGGCTCCACAGGCTCTATCACTGGTGTTTCAGTCAACTCCACTAGTTCATCTCTGCTTGACCCCTCAAACTTTTTCTTCAACTCAGTAACTTTATCCCCATTTTGTTTTGGAACGAATGCTGCATTTTTTTCCTTATTAAACCCCTCGTCAAGTCCATTTTTCAAGTCCGTGCTCTCATGATTGTGGTCATCGTCGTCGTCATCGTCTTCATCATCTGGATCCCGTTCTTTCTTTTTGAAGGGCTTATCTTCCAGCCAGAGTTCAGCTGGTGCTGAGGGAATCAGTTTTTTAGTCACAGAGATGAAGCTAAGATATGGTGGGAAAAGCAGGCCCATAAACACGTGACTCAGGGTACAGTTCAATCTACCCTTCCATTGGTGCTCGAGAACTATCTGGCTCAATGGATGAGCAATGAACTGTTTAGCCTCAATAAACCCTGCCACGTCGAGTAAACTCTTGCGTCCCAATTGCCACGGTTTCAACTCCAGAGCTACATGGGCCAGAGATTGGTTCACAGACCAAGCACATTCCAACACATCAAGAGCGTATTCTAGGTAAACTTTTGCATTTTCATGCAACTCCTCTATTCTCGTCTCGTCAACTGAATGTGTAACCAGAGCGATTGCTTTCCTAAACAGCATGCACACAGTGGGAAGGAACCTGACTTTCAAGCTTTGACGCAAAAATAATGCAAAAAACTGTATAGTGCTTCACTAAAGCGTATCTGTTTGTTTTTCACGCAAAATTAGGTCTCGCAAAAAAACAGCGTTTGAGATAGAGTGATAGACTATAATGAGCATATTAAATAAAGGTATTTCCATTTCGTGATTCGAACTATATTTTACAAGCTTCGAGAATAAACAGTCTGGAAAATTTCAGACCAATTTTGCGATGGTAGGCCAAAAACCCGAGATAAAGCTATTTAAGCCAGTAAACGAAATGTAAAATATTTTATACATTATTTAGGATGTTATTAGCTTGAGTTTCAGATAGTGCTTCAACTGAGTTTAAATTAGCGCCTCCTCCGCTCGGAAAAACCAAGAGAAATAAAGAGTAGTCCAAGAGAAATCAAGAGCAGTCAGAGAAATCAAGAGTAGCCGTGCAAGTAGCAGAGAAAGCTCCAACCATATTCATAAAAACACTTTTTTTTTCAAAGTCATGTAATTCTTTTTTCGTTGTCAGACAGATGAAACTAGTCAAAAATTTAGAACGTTAGTAAAATAGATATCATCAACTGTAGTTGGCTACAAAAGAAAAAAATTGAAAAAAAATCAAACATTTTTGCAGATTATTTTTTGAGTTTTTGACAACTTAAGATAAGACAGCGGTAAATAAAGCTTCGAAAACTAATTTTCCTGGTGTAAAATAAAAATTTGCACAGCTTAAAGAAAATTTTTCAATTTTGTCATCTGCGTGCTTGCTTTACTCGCTTGAAATTAGACTACCATTCAAAAGAAAACCAGCGTTTCTCTACCTCGGAAAAAAAATTTATGTCGATCGAATTAGGTCTGAAGTTGCTTGTTTATGATATAACACTCATCTCATTCTGATGATTATTTGAAATACTGTAAAAAACTAGGCAAAACGGTACCTTTTTGAATTGCAAATGGATTCAGTAACAAGGTTGCTCTCTTTAATCTTTCTTTGTTCCTGTGTTTATTTTGATCGCGCCAAAGAATTTTCTCTGATGTTTGAAGACATCTCCAGGGAAAACTTTGAAATCAAAAAATTTTAACTTGAGAAAAAGAAGCAACAAAAAACAAAACAAGGATAGCAGGTTGCTGTTCAAATAACCCGAAAAATTCTTTTAATAACACAATTTTTCTTAACTCAGTAATGTATTTTTTTTAACTCAGCTTGAACATCAAAGATCATGCAACTCATTCGGATGATTAATTCTGGTTATTGCAACCTCCTCACTTGCGTTGGCCGGAACAACCAAAGAAGCCTTCTACTGTGCAAGTAGCACAGAACCTTTCGATCACATTCATTTATTTTTTTTCGAATTTGGGTTGTTCTCTGGCGTGATGTAACGAGAGGAAACATAATAAAGCTCATAAAATAAATAAATTAAGCAAAATGGACTGTCAGTGTCTCCAAACGACTACAAATTTTGGAGAATAAAAAAAATCGCCAAGAAAGCGCTAAGAAGGCTTTAAAAACTAATTTTCCTGGAGTAAAATTGAACGGCTTAAAGAAATTTTTTTCCGCTGTCACCCCTACTCTCGCTTTCCTCGCTTGAAAGTAGGCTAGAATGCAAAAAAACCGAACCAGTTTTTCTCTACCTTGAAAAAACTTCTGAAAATAGTTGATGTCGATCAAATTGCGACCGAGGGGGCTTGAATATGATATATCACTCAGCCAACTCTGATAACTATTTGTGCTCCCCTATTTTTAGTAGAAACAAGAAGAAAAACAAAAAAGGGATTGGATACTTTTATATATCGCCGATTTATTTTTTAAATAACACTTTTTATTTATAAGAAAGCGTTACAGAAAGCTTCCAAAACTAGTTCTTCTTGAGTAAATTTGAAACCTTCACAGCGTAAACAACATCATTCTCTAATATAACGCCTACTCGCTTGCTTTATTTGCTGGAAAACTTCTCCAATTACAAACTGGTTTTTCTCGACACTGAAAAAGGGTGCGTATCACGACTGAAAGGGCTATAATTTGATAAATCACTCGACCAGTTTCGATGATTATTTGCAGTACCTGATTTGGCTGGGAAACAAACTTCATACAAAGACAACGTTTTTCCCCCACTTTCAGTGGTCGCAACAAAAACGTTCACTAAAAATATCTTCACTGCGTTTAAAAATTAGAGAAAAAAACATACCAGAGAGCTGCTCCTATGAGAGCAAGATGAACTCCATTCTGACAATGTCTCCAGAAGAACTGAGATGCCTCCATTCTCTCTGTCAGAATAGCCCATATGAAAAGTTCTCGAAAGGGATCCTGGAACACCGTAAGAACTCGATTCTCATCACTCAGCTGCTTAACGTATAACTCAGGCTTCGCACTGGTGAACAGGTACACTATTTGATACACGTCCTTTAATCTAAAAGAATCTTTTGAAGAACGCTGTTGCAGGAGAAGTCTCAGAGATGATTCCTGCTTTGAAATGGCATTCGCGTACAGAAATCCAAGCTTAGCAGGAGTTAGAAACCTCTGCCACTCGAACCCGAATTCGATGAAGAGTTCAATGAACTCCATTTTGTCATCCAGCACAGCTTTCGTCATCAGTTTATTCAAATTCCTTTTCTCGCCCATGTCTCCTCCTTCTGCCTGCAGAATATCTTTTATGACGTCATCACACCTGTCCCAGTCTAGAGCCAGCTCTACTGGATCCTTAGTCTGTGCTGTCTTTCCGTTCAGCAATGCCTTCAAAATGCACTGATTGAGAGGCATGGACAAAGAAAGGTTGATTCGGTATATGAAGATATTGCGCCGCCTATCAATGCAGTTGTGCAGATGTTTCAACTCGATCGCTGCTTCGAAACTTGCCTCCTCCGAGTACAAGGTTCCTTTGCGCTTCGGCCGCACAAGGATTGCTTCCATTTGTTTCATTAGGTAAAGCTCCTGCTCATCTGTGAACTGATTGTACTCAGCCCGCTCTGCGATCTTTAGCGCGTAGCAAATCACATCACACGCACCACCTGTTCCTACAACGTCAGCAGAAAAATGCATTCTCTTTACAATCTATCCCTTCATAGTAAAACGAAGTTTTTCAACCTAAGAGTCTACATAAAGCAATTTTTCATATAACGAGCGGTACTCGATCGCGTTACCCGCTCGACCATATCTTTAAACCTGTTTTTCTGAGCACTGGGACAAATTTTTGAATATTTTTAACAGCCGTTCGAATCACGACTGAAAGGGTCTTGGATATGATATATCACTCGACCCATTCCGATGATTATTTGTGGTACCTAATTACGCTTCAAAAAAAAACACACCCGAAAACAAAGTTCCTACCCATTTTCAATCGTCGAAACATAAACTAAAAAATGCAGCGGGTAACTAAAAACTAACAGAACGCTTTCTCATAATCAAACCCTCAAAAAATTAACAATACTTCCCCACCAACAGAATATACTTTGCTATCAAAAATAATGAAACAGATTTTTTTTACTAAATGACTGAAATCTAAAACACGTAGCAAATCAAGGCATTCAAAAACAAAAACCATTTTTTTTTAAATTCAGTAAAGTGATTTACAATTCTAAACCAATGTGTTTGAATCTTGAAGCCATACCTTCATTCATCTATATTGTTTAAGCCAAACTTTTGTTTCTATTGTTTTCGGTTAACGAGTTTAAACTACGGACAATGACCTTTACTTGGTTTTTGCCACCTGAAACTGATACACGACACTTTCTGAAAGACGAAGCCAGTTTTTGCACCACTCGCGATAGAACAACACGCCGAGCGTCAATTTAGAAAAAAAACTGCTACATTTACATTTTATAATTTTCAATACAACACTTGCAATACAACAATTATAGGATGAGTGCACCAGGAAGCTTAAAAAAATTAGCAAATTTCGAGCAATGTTACAATTAAAGAAATGGAAAAACGAGAAATTAAAAAAAAAAACGTTTTTGTTTTTCGTGTTTGAAACTATTTAAAATTTTCAAAAAGGTCCTAGTGGGGTTGAAGTGGGGCTTTCAAAAAACTAGAGCCAGAGTCTTATATAAGAAAAAAATTCATGTAACGCCCATATAGGATCCACGATAGCTATATAACTAAGGCATACAAAGTAGACTACATAAATTAGAAACTAAACCGACAGAGCTTGTCGACAACCATGAAGCCGAAAAACCATCACAAGAAAATTAATATCAATACTATATAATTATACATAAAATGGTTTGAGTTCTAGATAAAGAAGTTGTAAAAACTAGTACCCGGTAGTCATGATTGGATTTTCATAAAATTTAGCAAGTCACCAGCACAACAGCATCATAAATGATTCAAGTGATTTTGTAAAAGTAGCTGTTAAATCGAAAAAAGTCTATATTCCGATTTGAGAAAAGCGGATATAATCGCAAGCGTAATCAACTTCGAGTAAAACCGATTTCACTAGGAGCACCGGCTCAATTCGCGAACACAATACTGATTCATGAAGTCGTTGTTGAAAATTCAAACCAGGCGAAGGACTCAACGGAACCCATTTCACACTAAGCAAACCAGCGAAAAAACGAAGCTCTAAACATCAAAAAAAGAAAAATTGCAAGAACTGCGAAAATCGACGGCAGAGTTTCCATAAAAAAAAAATAGAATAGAAGTAAATTAACACAGCCCGTACCATTTGAGGCGTAAATGATTTAGCCGGTGCAATCCTGAAAAAAAAAAGCAAAAAACAAGTTTTTACCAGTTTTAGCAGACACCAACCAAACCCAAAAAAGCTTGCCCAAAAAATTAAGTCCTGGCATTTTTTTGGGTAGATGGAAAGGCAGTTAAAATTACGATTTATGAATGAGGTAAAAACAGCTGATACAATGCTTAAATATTCAGATCATTTGAAGCAGAGAACTTTTAATTAAGAAAAAACTTTTCGAACGACTCAGTAGCATAGTTTTTTTCTACAGATGAAAACGTGGAAGGAAATGGGATTTTTACGAATGAGACGTAGGGTTACCAGCAATTTTTACGAGTGAAACAATTGTTCACCTTGTTTAATTGTAATGATAATCGGCATGGTGAAACGGAGCTTCGCAACACTTGCGATACAGCACAAACAAAGCAATGCAAGCTAGCGGACAGAACTTGAAAAGGAAGCCGCTATGTCGAAGCGACAAGTTGACAAAAAGACAATCAAAGGTCGGAAAAGAAAAATGAACGCAAGTAAACAAAAAACACTAACTTCGTTGAAAAAATATCTTTTGAATTTCAAAGAAAAAAATAGATGCCATTTAAGCTCTTTGAATTTCTAGACCGATTTGTGACTGGCGCTTTTTTATAACATTAATCCAATTTGAGAAAACTGGATCAACAGTTTAAGTTCTTTTCCGCTGGAAATCTAAAAATTTTATTCCGCTGGAAATCTAAATCAAAACTAGAAATCGTTATTAGGAAAGTGCTATTTACGTCACTTTTAGCAGATGAATTTCAATTGAACAGTCCATATGTACCCAAGTGCATTCATAAATGCATCATACGTATGAAGGCACATCTGTACTTATTGGATACTTTAAGAATTTTCCTTAAAAAAAACAAAAAAAAATCAGCAAGACTTATATAAGAGTCTTCACTACGTTCATTACTCTGAAAAAAATCGAAAATAGAGCCATCAAAAGATCAAAATTTTGTCTAACATGAAGTTCAATTTGACGGCCTGATTATTTAGGCCTCATTAAAACTGAAAACATAAAAATACCTTTGTCTTTTAAAGCACCGAAAATGAAGTAACTAAGCCGATATAACATAAACCGAAACCATCAAAACGAAAACAAAAGAGATAAATCAGAGTTGGTTAATTTACACAGTAGAGAACGCGTTTCACTGATAGTTGAAACTGCTTGAATCAGAAGAAATGTGATTCTTTCAAGGAAATAGATTCGCTGTTCTCAGGCAAGCGACAGAACAAGCAGAAAAATGATAGTCAGACAAAAATGTTCCACTGGGACTCCAAGCTTGTGCCAAGAGGACGCGAGAAAGAGCCTCGAAAACAAGCGAGAAGAGCCTCGAAGGTATCGAGGTTCCACGCTAGAACAAGGACAATTTCTTACAAACTCGTAAGAAACATTGTTTACGGGAAAATTGTCCCGGTAAAAAGTACACTTGCTCTCTCAAGTGAAATAAAACACAATTGAAGTGCATATACAACCTTCACAATACACTAATTTCAGCTTAAAATGGAGGTTGATGTAAGGAAAAATTAACGCATTCAGACCGTTTTATCTCGACATCGCTTTTCAAAAAACATGAAATCAAAGAAAAAATGAAAAAAGTATACTAAAAACTATATTATCGTTTGTCTCGATAGAAGTTCAGTCTAGGCAAACATTCTAGAAACTTGAACATTAAACACAGAGGCGAAACTAAGCTTCGCATCACTTGCGATACAAAGCCACCGATTCGTATTAAAAAAACGACAAAACGCTAAAAAAAAACACCCGAATTTTTGTTTCACACAGAAACTCATTTTGATGAAAACCTGTAGCAGAGCACAACAGCGAGTATTGAACTAGCTTGAAAAACTTCGAATTACGCTACACATTGCGCTAAAATATAGTCATTTAAAAAAAGACAGAAGTCGGAAAAATTTCTGAAAAATTAAGTTCATGGTTGCATCGGATGAAGTTCATAAACAGCCTTAAAAGCAACTTAAAAAATTTACCGAGCGGCAAGAAAGGCGACAATTTTGGGTTGAAACCTGGTGAGCCGGAAACAAAACTGTTGTCATAAAAAATTTCATGAAGTTTTAAAAGTTTTACGACCCACCCACACTGAAGCACATAATCCTAAACGAATATATTTGGCCCTCAAAATTACGTAATAAAAGTTGACTAAGCCGATATATCGAACTTTTTTAAATATTCAAAAAAACAAAGAACAAAAAATAACGCAAAATCAGAATTGGTAAATTTACAAACTACTGAACTTTCATTTACAGAAAAAAAACTGTTTAAATTGGATCATAACCCATGCTTTAAAAATTAAGCCAATAAAAAGCCTGCCATATAAAATGTGCGTTTAGAAAAATCGGAAAATGAACCGACAGAAGCTAGGGCGACAACCACGCACCCGAAAAAAATCGAGAGAGTGGTTTTCGAGAAATTTTTTGAAAAATTAATTAGACCCTGAAAGTCTTTACCTAAGTGCTACTTAAATGATGGTAGTTTTATTTGAATTTCAAGAAATTGAGCATGTCAAAAGCGATATTCACCATTCCTTCTAAAATAACCATTCTGTGAGCAAATTTATTTACGGGAAAAAAGTCTAGTACCTGATTGCAATACCCTTGCGAAGTTGAGCCGAAATCAATTTTTAAGTCCCAACTGAATTTACAGTGAACAACAACTTATAATTACAATGAAAGTTGCTTAAAGCACAAGCAAAATCCGCGATGTGGCAATTAAGCCGATCAAAACTTGAGCAGACAAATGAAAGTCCGACAATTCATTTTTTCTCGGATTTTTTTCCCAATTTCATTGATGCTGAAGAAAAACATGGTCAAGTCAGGACTTGAACCCCAGACCTTAGTGTAAAAAGGCAACCTCGTTACCCCTAGTCCAAGTGGAAACGAACATGGACGGTGTTCAGAGTCAAAAAGAAATGAATCAAGAAAAGAACGAGCAAGGAAAGCTTTTTACGTGAAAAAAAAAGTTCCCGATTACAAGACACCTGCTCTCGCAAGTGTATAGAATCATTCGACGCCATCTGACATTTTTTCGTGACACAACTTTGCTATAAAAAAAACAACAGATTCTAGAGTTCTTTCGCACCACATGGTTGGGAACAAGCACTGAGACGAAGTAGCATTTCGCATTGAAAGCCGGGTTCCTTTTCTATGCCCCTCCGCACTTCGAAATTTTGCATGCAAAAGTTTTGCCCATGGTGTCCAATTTTTAATTATTTGGTTGCTTTTTATTTGACATAAGCTTCGCAATTAACTTAAACATTTTAACATTGAGGCTTACGTGAAACGGTATCGAAAATTTTAGAACTATAGCGTAGCCCTGAAGAAATGAGCTACGCTCAGCTAAAGAAAAAATTGAAAATCTAAGCGCTTCAGAAAATTAAGAACATGACAGTATTCAACATAGACCAAGCAAAAAGAAAATTGAAGCTCTAGGTTGAGTTAGTTACCTTCGCAGATTACGACCGGCACATCATCAGTGAGAACGGCCGATACCTCTTTGAGCGTCTCCAATTCTCCTCCCACCACAACCAGAACTGTGGGAACTGTAAACTCGTCAAATGGCTTCGCAATGAAAGACAGCAACTCGCTGCGACACTCTGCCTCTTGAAACGGCTTGCCCTTGATGCCACCTTCGACACATAGAAAATGAGAATATAAGGGGTTCAGGGTAGTCATGAACTGGTCCTCTGTGCAAGAAGCGTCAACAGCTCCATGTTTGATCATGAAGTTCAGTTTAGAATGGTCACTACGCTTCAACTTCTTGTCTAGTCTAGTCTTTATATCCACACAGTCCCAGTTCACCAAACCGAGTAAAAAGAACTCGTTTTCGTCGTCGACTATCCAACGTTTGAACTGCAGTTCACGAAGTGCTTGTCCCACCAAATAGTCAACGCCTGACAAAGTTCCACCCCCAATCACCCAACATTTTGAGCTTGCGACTGCATTAACAAACTCTCGTTTGAATCTGGTAGATTGCTTGGCAGTCAAAGACAAGTGTCGCTGACTGCCCGAGACTGCTATTACGAAGCTAGGCTTCTCCAACACCCACCTCTGGGTTATAACATTTAATAGCTGTCTAGGGTGAGTGTCATTGGCCAATATTGCTATGTCTGCCTCCTTTTCTACAGAGTTCACTTCGTCGTTTAGCGTCACTTTCAAGAACGACTGCCATGCTATGTACTCCATGTGGATGTCTGGCCGCCAACTCTTTGAGTCTACCGTCCATCGTCTTAGATGGGGCACTGAGATGTGTTCTGATTTGAGGTACAGACAGCCGGAACATCTTCCCCGTCTTCTGTTGCTGATGTCAGGCACAAAGTTGGAACAAGTCTTGCGGCAATATTCGTTCTCACAGAAAAACTTCATCTCCTGCTTCTCTGTCGCTATTGCACCTGTGTCAAAATTCCCACGCGCCGCTTTTTTATTCATGTCTGCTCCAATCGGGGACACTGATTATCAAATAGACTTGATTCAAATTTTCAATTTATAATAATGCTCTTGATTTCATAATTGTAGAAAATGGACTTCTACAAAAGCCATGAGGGCTTTGTCTAAAACTAAAATTTACTGACAATAAGCGCCATAAATAACCTGAAAGAGCAATTTGAAAATTTCTGGCTAAGAATTTGGTTAGGTTATAAACATTCGAAGTGAAATAATCCGCAATATTTGCCAACTATTGGAACCAGTTCCTTGGGCCTTTAACCATTTCAACTCAGCGCCAACAATTACCCTACAAGTGCTTGTTTTGTTATTGCCTCCCTTACCAAAGTATTCGCTTACTATATAGTAAGTTGGGCGTCTTTTCCTTTACACCTACTGTTGGTGTGTCGGAATGAGAATACAACCGTTACTTGCAATGCGATACGCTTGTGATCAAATGCTTCCTTTATATGCTCAAATCCAGCAACTTCTGCAAAATGGAAGATTGCTTCGAATAAATTTAAATTTATTTGACGAACTTCAATAGATTATTTTATGGTTGCATTTATGTTAGTTTAAGGTCATTTTATTTGCTTTAATATTCTATCACACTTCATTTTAGATCTTCAATTTATTGTTAATAAAGTGTTCAGTTTTCTTTCATTTCACAATCGGTTAAAAACAGCCACTAACAATAAAGTTCGGACAAGTGATTAGTTATCACTACTTCAATGGAATTTCTAAGTTTCATCGTATTGCATTTATTAGATTTTAAAAATTCAACCATTTAAATGCAAAGACAACAAGGATAGCCGGAGGCTTCGCAAGTAGCGCCAAATATTCCGACCACACTGAATAAGGAAAAGAATTCAAAAAGCGAAAAAAATGTCAATTGATTTTTCATCATTTAACAGTCCAAAATTCCTGAGATTAATTTTTGTGGAAAGAGCCAGGGGCGGATTTAGAGGGGGGACGCACTCTTACCTTCAGGGATTTGACCCCCTCACCAACTAAAGGGTCTCCTCGTTGCTATTGTTTGATGAAATCCATTTTCGGCGACCAACCCTAAAAAAAATTAAAAGCGCCAATATATGCAAATTTTGAAACGAGCGCGCCAAATAAAACGCTGTTTTAGTCAAAAAAATCTAAAAACAGGATTTTTGACCTATTTTTTGCAGCGCAGAAAATTTTACCAAAAGAAGGTCTTTGTAGTGTTCTGGAAATGCTCGAAAAATCAATTTGATCAATCTAAAAAGGTCGACAAAACTTTTATTTTTTTTTGAAAATTTGCTCCCTTCAAGAAAATCTTAGATCCGCCGCCCTTGGAAAGGGGCATTATATTAGGTGGAACACCATTAGAATGGATAGAACAAAGAATCTAAAATAACGTAAAAATTGAGGAAAATTTAATTTGGAGGCCAGCTTCTAGAACTTTTTGAAGTTTTGTTAGAATCCGAATCACAACTTTTTGGGCTTGAATATATTACCCCTCTCGACCACCACAATCTTTCTTTATGGCGATCAAAATTGGCTGGAAAAAAATTGAAAACGGAACCTACGTCATAGTTCCTTCCCACTCTTCAAGAGCGGTCGATACAAAATCCTGATTAGTTTGATCAGCTCTTTTAACCCAATGCAGTTCAAGGTGTCAAAGCTCCATGAAAACCCAACATAGGTGTTTAAAAAATCTATGAAAAAGTAAAACCTCAGTTTGCTTGTTTGCAAAAATTTAATTGGCATTTAAAACCCCGACGCGTTTAGCATTGGTTGAGGTGAGACCGAATGGTTTCAATTTAATTTGAGAAAATTCAAATTTTCTCAAACCAGGCTAGCTTTATCAAAAAAAGAGCCAGCTATAAAACATTCTTGCAATTCAAAGAGCGCGATAAAAAGTGACAGACCTTTATGAAACTGGAAATAAAAAAAAACATCTTTGTTAACTCTTTTCGTACCTTTTTGTTGGCTGGCCACACTACGAAAAAAATCTTCAAAAATAAACAATCATAACTAAATCTACACAATTATCGGAGACTACAGCCAATAAAAAGCTGGTAAAGTGTGAATACAGTAACGAAACGATTGGTTTTTTAGAACTCAGAAAAAAGATCTCGTTGAACCTCTCAAAACTATAAGATTTTATGATCAACAGTTTTTTGATAAACCTAGCCCCATAAAATAAACTTGAATCAAACTTTTTATCTGCTGGGAAATCTAACTTGCGATACAGCACAAACAGGCTATGTTTGTGCTGTATCGCAAGTTAGATTTCCTAGCGGATAAAAAGTTTGATTCAATTTTATTTTATGGGGCTAGGTTTATAGCCTGACAAATAGCAGACAAGGTGCGACAAAAGCCGCTAAACTTGACACGTTTTGAAAACGTCAAGAAACTATCATAAAAGCTACACCTACCAAAACTATCATATATTTTTGTTTTCAATTTTTCAAATGCATTTTTTTAAAAAAAGTATGACAAAAAAGAAAAATGGTAGTTACATTTGCATAAAAACAAAACGGTATTACAGACAAAAAATTTTGAGCAAAGACTTGTTGAGCCCAAAAAAGTTGAGCCCAAAAAAGTTGAGCACAAAAAAGTTGAGCACAAAAAATTCAAATTACCCCTTCCAAAGATTCACCCGAATAGCAAAAATGTTTCTTCGCTCATCCAACAATACAATATGATATCACAAAGCCCATTAATTATTAACTAAAAAGTGAGCAACAAATCACGAAAACAAAAAAAAACAAAATTATACTCAAACGGAGTTGGTAAGCTTCAAACCAACATAAAAAATATTCAACTAAACAGGTATTTGAAATTCAAACATGCTCAAAGTATGTCTTATGGCTGACATAAGTGCAGAAAGAATGATTTAGTGATTTTGTTGGACTAGTTGTTCAGAAGAAAAGCCTATGTTCCGAAGTGATAACGCTTTTTTATCGCGAGCACGATCATCGCATAAGTAATATTTTAGTGCAGATTGATGAAAGCAACAAAAAAATTCAAAAAAAAAATTAGAAATTATTGAAAATTAAAAAAAAAACATAAATTTCTCAAAACATCTTGTAATTGAATTACCTCTACCAATGTGGCTTTAGAATGGCATTCAGGAATTTAGAAAAAAGCTTAGCCCTTGAAAAAGACTCCGTGCTATCAAATTGGTAAATTTAAAATCAGCATAAAAAAATTGAACTGAACGGGTATTTGAAATGGAAACATACACAAAAAATGTCTGTGGGCTGACATAATTGCAGATTTGAGAAAATGAATCAGTGAGAAAATGAATCTCTATGATCAAAAATCTATCTCTAATCAAAAATCTGTGTTCCGAAGTGATAACGCTTTCTTATCGGAATCACGATCATCGCATAAGTAATAATTTAGTGCAAATTGATCGAAACAGCAAAACGCAAAACCGACTAAAAAACTATAAACAAATTTTTTTATAAAGAATGAAATTCATTGAAATTTCAAAAAAAAAATGTACCTAAAATTCCGCAAAGAATGTATTAACTCAATTTCTTCTACCAATATGGCTTTAGAAACGGCATTCAGGAGATTGGAAGAAAGCTGAACCCTTAAAAAGAGTCCGTGCTATGGACTTTGTAAATTTAAAACCAACGTCAAAAAATTGAACAGAACGGGTATTTGAAAAGCAAACATGCTCAAATATGTCTGATGGTTGTCATAAGAGTAGATTTGAGAAAACGACTCAGTTGTTTGCAAGAATACGTCTATGTTCCGAATAGATAACGCTTGCTAATCGCCAGCGCAAACATCGCAAAAAACTAATTAATTTAGTGCATCTTAATAAACGGAGCAACATTCAAAAAAAACAAAACTAGAAATTTGTCAAAAAATCTGGAAATCAGCAAAAACTGTTATAACTCAATTATCTACACCAACGGGGCATTCAAGAAATCAGAAGAAAGCTCAACCCTTGAAAAGATTCCGTGCTATTTGCAGTAATCCAACATATGAACATACGGTCGATAGTCGGACACAGCAGAAAATTCCTAGTTAGAAAAAGTCCAGACCGGATTCGAACATCAAGTCTTTCAAGCAGGTGTGTTACATCCACACCAAACTTGCAGGGTGTTTGATTAATTTTTAATTTAAAAAGAAGCAAGATGAAACATCTGCGAAATCTTGTGAACTGATTTGTTGACGGGGAGAAAATTCTAGAACCCAATTGCGGCACCATTGCTTATCGTGAACGTAATAACTAAAATCTAATTTCGAAGCAAAAATTCATTCAAGTTTTTCGTCCCATTTGCATCTTTGTAACTGAAAATCGAAAATCGCGTTTCTTTAAGCAAATTGAATAGAATCAAAGAGTCAGGCAAGAAGCTACAATGTTAACGATTTCGATGAAATGATTATTTTTTAAGATCGACCTTATTGACAAGTAAAGCTTGTTTGAAAAAAAACCGAGCAATAGATAAAAGTTAATGCAATATAAAAAACCGAATTCCAGTGCCTCTTCCTGTTAAATGAATTAGATTGTGTTCTTAAACAGAGATCAGTGTCATAAATAAAATAACTGAGCATGAAAAAACTACTTTTACTTTTTCAGAAAAAAAGGCTACCCTAATTACTAAAAAAAGACACTTAGGCTAATACTTCACCAGTCAAAAACCAGGTTAACCATTCAAAAAAGATTGAAAAATTGGAAGCACGAAAAAGAAAAAAATTGAGTAAATCTATAAAAAAGTAAACTTATAAAAACAAAAATAAATAAAAAAGCGTAATCAAAGAACGCTAAAAACCGAAGACTTTTTTGTTGCTTGAAAAATATGGCCTCAAGTTCGAGACTTGAAAAATGTTGCATCAAAGCTCTTTGAAATTCAAGAAAAATATAAGAGTGGCAATTTTTGATATCAAAACCCGATTAGTATAAAATGACCCGATTAGTAAAAAGCTGCATCAATAGGTAAATTTTTTAATTCGGTGGAAAATCTGATAATTAAAATCCAGTTTCGAAATTAAAAGTTAACCACGTGTTTCGTGATCTTTTCAAATTTTGCTGTTCGATATTGGAGTTTACATTCCTTTTAACAAAGGAAATGATCTGAATTTGAAAAATCATAAGTCAAACCGCGAAAAAGTTTTGAGCCTGAACCAAGTTTATTTTCTTTTGAAAAAAAATCACCAAGATCTATATAAGAGTATTCGCTACGTTTATGGCTCTTAATCACAAAACAGAGTACCGTCGAACCTCATAAACTTCAAAGTGCTATATCTTAAGCTTTAGCTGCTGTCTAATATCGCAGTCTGCTGTCTAATGTTGCAGTAGTCGCATTACAAGTGATTGGCTAAGACACACAGATCGATCCCAGTTAATTTCTCGGAAAAACGAACTCCATTATCTCTATGCCAGTTTTTTCTAATTTGGTTTTTCAAGTTGATTAGATCTAAAATAAGCTGTCAATTTAAATACAATGGTTTCTTCTTCGTTTTAATTTGAGGATATAAAATACGTT